AATAGCATGCATTTTCAATGTTAGAGCATCAATGAAACTTGTATCTTTTTTATCAAGGTCGTCTCATTCAATTTAGGGTCTAAAATCAAACTTCATAGAGAGGCTTTAATATATTTCTTTTGTTGACATATATAAAATGAATAATAATAACATAGCTTAGTATAATTGTAAAAGTGATGTCTGGAGAGAGTAAGGTATACATAGACCTTATGTAGTAAGAATGTAAATGATGCAATATTTTAGTGAAAAATATATAATATAAACTTCGAATGATAAAATCTAGTTCAAATTTTTAGAAGTTAATATAATATGAAATAGTATTGAGTTGAATTTGATAAGTTAATATAACTATATTAAAATAGTATTCACTTGTTGTAGTGCTAGTAAAACCAAGATTTTCATTAAGGGTTCAAATTATGAAAGAAATAAATATAAGAAGTAGTCAAAGAAGGTTTAATATCAATTATATATACATAAAAAAATAATTTTAACCACGTATAAAGTGCTCATGCGTTGGCTCTGCCCCTTAAATCCACTCATGAAGTTAAAAGTGATACTAAAGTTTCTAAGATTTACTCTTCCTTTTTCAAATTCTAAATTTTTTTCTTATTTGGAGCATTCTATCAAGGCAAGTATGTGGCAAGATCCATTTGGTTAGTTTTTCTATGGAAAGAAAAGTGGAAAATGTTCTTTTGTGTTCACGTGATGCTAATTACTTACTTATTTTCTTTGATTATATATTGACAATAGCTCACCATTGATGACATTGGATATTTGATAAAGGACTCTTCATAGCTTGGAACTCTCTAAAGAACCTAAAGTTGGATACCGTAGAATTATACAATGAAGATATTGTGAACTTACTATCCAGATAGTCTGACATTAAAAACTCTAAAGTCGTTATTATTTTTTGAAGTTTTTTTTTTCATGTTAAAATTACTTCTTCAAATATAACAAGACTAATATTAGCAAGCCATGTGAAGCATGGAAATGTGGAGTCTTTCGAAATTTGTTCTCATTTCTAAAGACTTCTCGTTTCCAGATTCAAATGAACTAAGAACATCAGTCTATTTAAATTTGGAGAAGTAATTTCTATATGATAAAAAAAATCAAAGAATAATAATAACTCCAAAGTTTCTAATGTAGGATAACGTGACAGCAAATTCACACTATCATCATTGTATAATTCAATTGTATCTAACATTAGGCTCTTTATAGGGGTTCCAAGTTTTGATGTCCTTTATTAAATACCTAAAGTCTAAAATCCAATGCAATCTATGACAAGTTAGTGTATAGAGCCAGAAGAAATATGTATGTGATATCAACATCAAGTGAACACAAAAAATCAAAATTAATCCAATGGATCTTACCACATCCTTACCTTGACAGAATACTCAAAATAGTAATAAAAAAATTAAATTTGAAGAAAAAAGAGTAAAATTTAGAAATTTTAGTTTCACTTTTAACTTCAAAAATCAACCTAATTTCTATAAAATCAGATTCAAAAACTGAAAACATGGAAGCAGTCACTATACTGGGGGGCAAGACATGACCACGACTTAAGAAAAAAGTACTCTTGAAAAGACTAAAGGAACGGGGGAATGACTACCTGTAATAAAGCACATGCTAATGCGAGCCGACCAGAAGAAGCCAGGCTTAGATTACCAGATCCTGGACACAATCTTCCTAGAGATGGAGAGCAAATCAGGATGATCAATTTTACTTAATATTGTGTTACATTTGTAAACAAACTTAGATCATTTAGATACCATAATCTTTGACAACAAAGAGTATGTTGGTAGAAATTAAGAGTCCATACAATAATAGTGGTTGTATAACCTATGCAAATCAATTTTTACTTCCTTACAAAGGTAAGATATTAAAAAGTACATGGATCTAATAACATAATCAATTTTAAAAAATGGAGAAAATTAAAGGAAAAACAATGAATTAAAGATCTTACAACATGAATACTCATTGATTCAATTGAATTGCAACATCTTCAATCATCCTTATTATGAGTTGAAAAGTGAGGGATGAGAAAATGATAAGACATACATGAGTTTATATATGAGAGGAATGAGACTCTTAATGGAAAGTAAATCTGATTTAATTCCAAAATATGGTAAAACTATCAATTAGTTTCCAAGTGATTAGAAGCCACTTAATGGAAAGTAAATCCTACTGTGGATTTGTGAAGTAATTAAATCAAGAAAATAATTATACATCTTAAAAGTTGATTCTTATAGACATCTTGTGATTTTTTAATATTTTTTTTATGAAAAATATATTTTAAATTATTTTATTACCTCTCTATTTATAATCTTTTATGTGATTTAAAGCCTATGTTATTCAAAATAATAATAATTTGGAAAGTAGAATTATATTGGTTTAAAGACATTTTTATTTTTATTTTGGATGCATGAGGTTGATGAAAAATTGGCAAATCAACTTTCAAGTGGAGTTTTGGAAATACCACATATATTTTGCCCCAATGTTGTATTTTCTTATGTCTTCTTTTGATACAATAACATTTATTCCAATTATATGCTTGTCTGAAAAAAAGTTTGTAAAAGAAATACCTAGAACTCTATTATTTTCATACAAATAAACTTTTTAGCCAAAATAATGAATGTTCAATTGTGTATTTCTTTTCACTTCATGTATTTAGATATAACGATTTCATGTGAAACTCAATTTCATGTAGCCAAATAAAAAAATAACCTTAATAATGAAGCTCTAAACATATTCTTTTTACAAATCTAGCCAGAAATATGGCCCAACAAAATTATTGGATCAGTAATAATATATTTTTAGTATAGTGGACGAGTAAAAGCAAATTTCGAAAGTATTGAATAAAAAATCTTGTTAAACTAAAAAAACAAAAAACATATAGAAGAGCCCGTACATGAAAAAAACCAATGCTAAATTTATATTTTTTTTCCACCTTAGAGATTGGGCCCGTGCTAGCATGAGTAAATCGCCGCTAGTAAATAATATAAATCACATGTTTTATAATATATACATGATACATATAGTGCATGGTTCCTACAATATAGTAGCTTATCTGGCCTTCCAATAACTTTTGGAAATTTTTTGAAACAAAAACTGAGGTACTGAGTGTTTTGGAAATTATCCTTAGTTGATTTAGAAGTTATTTTCGAGTTTTTTTTTTTTTTTTAAAAAAGGTTATTATGCATCTCAATCCAATTTCTCTGGAAAAAAATGATAGCATCAAAGAAATGAAAAAACGAGAATGGTGATTTTTATATTTTTGTGAAGCGGATATTATTAATTCAATTGCTTGGCTAATAAAAAGGATCACATTTTTTTTACTTTGACCAAACACTTTTTTCACTAGCCACACTCTTTTTGAGGTAAATTCCTAAAAAAATGAGTTCACAAAGATGTGGATGAACAAACCTTTCTATAATCTTTGTATGAATAAACTTTTCTATAATTAAATTATTGATTAATATGTGTATTTCCTTTAGGTAATTACAACGTAATTATCCGTCTGATGCTTTAAAAAAAATATCAAAATACTTGTGTCTTTCATTAATGTTATTGCATTAATTGCGTTTTATATAACAATTCTTTCTTTTAGTATAATAAAATTGACATGTTATTATCGTGCAATGCACAATTGTAAAGACTAATATATTATAGAGGTATGAATTCCACGTTAAATATTGAATGATGAAAATATCTTCAAAATCAATTGATCTACTTTTATGTCCTTCATTAATTGAATTACTTTTTAACAATAATGCCTAAAAATGTAAAAATAATTCATATAGTAGAGTTCAAGTCAAGATGTCCTTTTGCACTGATTTTATAGTCTAACCCATTTTTAGCTCATTTTAGCTCAAATAACTTTTGGACGGACTTTAACCCTACCTATTTAAATTTGCCCAATTCCAATCTAACCTCTCCATTTTACACTCTTAATTCAACCGCATATAACGATTGATTTGTGTGCAACAATAGCATACCCCATCTGGTCCCATACAATGGAGTCTAGTATACCTCAGAGTTGAGAGAGAGGGGTTATTTGATTGATTTATGTAGTGTTATAATTTATAAATTTATAATGACTAGGTTGATATCCTTTTGAAGTTAATTTTCATATTAGGGAAAACTAAATTAAGAGAGTGATAATACTTAATGTGCTAAGTGCTTTTATTGAGTTACTATCTAACCAACTATGAGTCTTAGTGGGTAGGTTATGGTTGAGTATTAAAAAGTAAATTAAAATTATCTGTCTAATTACCTTTTACATGTATATATTATGTGGATACATTTTTAAAGAAGCAAAGATATGTATATGGTATTTTAGGGGTGTACACATTGCATGTTTTCCTATATGGACATTTTCGTATGCAAACATTTTTACTCCCCTAAATATCATTTTCCCACTATCATAAATCCAATAACTCTTCCCGTGTCTTAATTAATGTGATGTAGTTTGACTGGATATGATATTTAATAAAAAAGATTTTTGAAACTTGTGACTTAAAAATAAGTCATAAATATTTGTATGACTATAAAACATCTCATTAAAGTTAAACTATTACTCTCTCAGTCAACTTTTGTTGGTCATGTTGTCCTTTTTGAAAGTCAAATTGACTCATTTTCAAAGTTAAATTAAATTACATTAATTCAATATTTTAAATAAAAAAAATTTAGATATTAAAAAACTACATGAAAAAAGACTATAAACTGCAATTTTTTGTATATCAATATGATGAAAAGTACATTTTGTAAAAATGTTAGTCAAAATTTTTATAGTTTGACTCTAAACAAGGAAAATCATGACAAAATAGACAGAAAGAGTATCAAATAGAAATATTCTTTTAAGTTTGACTAAAAAGAAAAAAATGTGTCGCATAAATTGATACACGTACTTATAAGGGTGTTGATGTTTTCTTCCACCTAAATTTTCTATAAATTGAATTTTAGTCATTTTTCAACCAAACAAATTATCAATTTGGTGCTTGAATACACTATGGTTAGCTTTCAAGCTATTCTTGTTTTCATTAGTATTTTCTTTTTTGTTAATCAATGTGTAAGTGCAAATGAGGTTCAATTTTACCAAAATTATTATCAAAAATATGGAGGTGACCATATAATTGTTACTGACCAGGGAAAAGAAGTTTGCCTAATGATGGACCAATATACAGGTTTCGTAATTATTTAACTAAATATCAATCTCTAGCTCTATCAAATTCATATAAATAAAAACAATATAATATATTTTAACTCATTTTGTTGAATTCAGGTTCTGGATTTATCTCTAATCAACATTTTGGTTCTGGAGATTTTAGCATCGACTTAAAAATACCAAACAGAAACAGTACAGGAGTAATAACAACATTCTACGTACGTACATTTTTTTGATATATATATATATATATATATATATACATGTATCTGGTAAACGATTAATACATTTATCTTCTCTTTTTGTTAATAAAACTAGCCAGTACTTACTCAAATGGATGGTTCTAATTTCGCAGAAGCAAGCAACAGTCAGGGGTGGCTCAATAGAATAAATGATCGATTTAAATGAAAACCTTAATAACATGCTTTAAACATATTGATACAATTAGTAAGGTATATATAAGACAGTATTTTTCAACCCTAACACAAGCTTATAGCTTCATTGTCAAAGTTGTACACATTTTATGAATCTTAACGATGAATATATAACCTATTTGAACATATATATATATAGAAAAATATAGTTGTTTCTGTTTAATTAATCGATTTGATGATTGAACGTTTACAGTTAACGTCACTACCAATTAATGGAGATCCTGGAATACGTCATGATGAGATTGATTTTGAGTTTCTTGGAGGAGATGGAAAATATACATTAAATACAAATATATTTGCAAATGATGGAGGAAGTAGAGAGCAACAATTCAATCTTGAGTTTGATCCTACAAAGGATTTCCATACATATCGAATTCTTTGGAATCAATATCATATCGTGTAAGTATTTTTAGTTATATACATCGTCAGTATAACTATGAGCATACATAATTTGTTGTTTTAACATTTCTTTTACTTCTTTGAAGATTCTATGCTGATGATGTTCCAATAAGAGTTTTTAAGAACAATACTAATTATGGAGTGAATTATCCAACAAACAAAATGCACATTGAAGCAACAATATGGAATGATACAAATTGGGTTGGAGATGTAGATTGGAGTCAAGGACCATTCAAAGCTTATTATCGCGATTTTTCGATAAATGGATGTCAATATCAAGAATCAAATCCTCAAGAATGTTATAATGATAACTATTATTGGAATACAATTATGAATCTTAGTCCAGATGAAATGCAGGAATATGAAGATGTGAAGGCAGAACAAATGACTTTTAGTTATTGCATGAGGAACAATAGTATGAATTTTCCAGAATGCATGTTAAATTGATGATGATCTTATAATACTAATAATAAAATTATCTACGTAATGAATGCTTGAAACTATGAGCTTGACTAATGCTAACTAATTATGATAACAAATTACTAACTAATGTAAGTACTATAAATTCAGCTATAAGTACACGTGGCGGAGGCAGAAATTCAGCTATACGCTCAGGGGTTCCATTTTAAATATATACACGTACACAAAAAAAATTGATCTTATATATAGTGTAATTTTTTTACCAAGGGGGTTCGGACCTGGACACAATGTACATCCGACCCTGAGTACAACTCATGTGCTAGCACCGTTCAAGTTAGAAGTGCGGATATATATCACTACAACAAATTCGATTATCAAAGGACAAAATTTTTTATCACTTCAATAAATTCGTCTTTAGATATGGGTGACTAAAAGTATAAAAAAGTGATTTGTCAAAAAAAAAGTGTAATTTTTATAAATGATAGTATGATTTTGTCAACATCAAAGTCAACACCAATTAGGAGATAGTAATTAAGAGTCTAATTGGATGGTGTCTTTTTAAGTTGATTCATCCAACAAATAGTAAATTGGGAGTGAAGTCCATATGCAGTGAAATCTCTATAAATTAATATAGGTGGAATCATGAAATTTTATTATTTTATAAAGATATTATTTAATTAATAAATTAATATTTATTAATTTAAAGAATAATTTGAGATTTAATGAAGGTTAATTTTGATTATATCAAAATCATTGTATCTTACTAATTTATGTATCATATTTATTAATTTCACATAAAAAAAATATTATACATAAAGCACAACGAATACATCAAAATTATTATATCTTACTAAGTTATGTATCATATTTATTGAATTGTCACTATCGTGCAAACAAAAGAGCATGGATGACAAATGTGTTTTTTGATGAATACATTAATTCGTTTGACAACAAAATGCATGGTAGACGAGTTTTGCTTATGGTAGATAATTGTCCAACCCATAATAAAAATATTGAAGGACTACAAAATATTGAATTGTTTTTCTTGCCACTCAACATGACATTCAAAATTCAACCTTGTGATGTTGGGATAATATGAGCTTTCAAGATGTATTATCATAACAGATTTAATTTTATCGTAGGATATTAGAAGGCTATGAAGTGGGACAAACTGATCCAACAAAGATTAATGTTTTGGATGCAATCAATTTTGTTATCCCTGCTTAGACAAAGAATGTTCAGCAAAAGACAATAACAAATTATTTTCAACACTGAAAAATTCGTTCGGGGGATGCAATCTTGGAGAATTTGAATGAACCTGAGGTCATGATTAATGATCTCGGTTACGACAATAAAATGAATGTCAATAACTTGTTGGATTATCCGGGTGAAAGTGATACATGTTCAGAGGTCTAGAGATTAGAAGAAATTGTGGATACCATCGGAAAAACAATGTTGATGATGAAGTTGAAGATGATATTATACCTTTGGAACCAGTTATGCGTAAGGAAGCACTTATCACATTAGGAACTTTTCACAAATTTATGGTGTAGTTCAAATAGACAACACCGACGCTCTTGGATGCAATAAGAAAAGTTAGAGAAGAACTTCAACTAGATTTAAATTTTATGAAAAAACAGAACACAATCGAATCATATTTTACTAAATTGTCTTAGATATATTTGTACTTTTAAAGAATTATTAATTTATGATATTAATGAGACCATATAGTTATATAGGGGTTCTAGAAATATATTATCTTATTATCTTATTGAAATTGGTGATTTTTTTCATTGGCCCAAGTCAGGACTGGAGGAAAATATCATTTTAGAGAGATTATTAATTTACCGAGAATTAATTTATAGAGGTTTTACTATATACTACTTCCTCCCGTTCGTTCATTTTTATTTGTCATTGTTTGATTTGATACACTCATTAAGAACATAATTATTGATATAGATATTTTACCATACTATTCCTACCAATTAACGTTTAGTATTGAGTCTTGTAAAATGATATGAAAAATAGTATTTAATGGTAAGGGTAAAACATGAAAAAAATAATTGTCTTTCTTGTTATATATGTCAAAAGTGACAAGTAAAAATGAAAATCTATTTTAGGAATAAATGACAAGTAAAAATAAAATCTATTTTAGGAATAAGTGACAAGTAAAAATGAACGGATGGTGTATTTGTATAGTTCCAAAAAAATATTAAAAAATAAAGAGCACAATTTTGATATTTGTATAAAAATTGGAAGTAAATTAGACTTTTTGAAAATATTATAACAACTCTTAGAAAACCCTAGCCTCTTGCCTCTCCTATAAATATTAACGATGATTTATCAGTACCTCCCATTCTCAATGCAACTTAACCTATTGCAACTAAGGTGGGAACTTCAATTCAATGAAGTACATCTCACCCACAATAGGTTGAGTTGCGTTGAGAAATTCAGGTTGAATTTCGTTGAAAAATCACTCCCAATATGAGTCTCTTCGTGAATTCTTCAAAATTAAATCCACAATACATTGAGTTGCGTTGAAAAATCACTTCCAACATGAATCTCTTCCTGAATTCTTCAAAATTAAATTGTAAGTTTTCCTCTTCATTGTATCTCCCTTATGTGTCATGATGTTATATCCATTTATGTTTTGATTCTTAATCTTTATATGCCAAAATGTGAGTTAAAAAAATATCTAATTGAATTGATTCACCGGATCTTCCATCTACGAAAATGGAAGAGATGTCTGTTAAGGTTGGCTTCATGAAATCAAGAAAGGAAATAAGTTTAACGAACATAGAGATGGAAAGAGATGGATTTTGCCCAAACACTTGATTCCAGTTTAGTTTTAGTTTTAGTTATAGTATCTGGATTTTGATACAAGTTTATTTGACTGATGTTAAAATGAAATTAAATATTTTAAATCTTAATTTTTATGTTAAATCCAAAAGTCTCTTTTAACCTTGAATAAATGGTCAAATCAGCATTAAAGGAAGAGTATGAAATTCATTTTTTTTTCCCAATCTGACTATAAAGAAAAGAGTGGGTATTAATTTCATCAACTTTAAGTATCATCGGAAAAATATTTATTATAATTCTGTAGACTAAATTTATTATATAATTAAGTCACTTCTAGAATTTTCTATATGCTTAGAACATTCCAAGGTCTTTCAAGAATTCTTCCTAGATATTCTAGTAGTATTTCCAAGAAACTCTCTATTGCTCAAGAATCTTCCCACAATTGCTTATCAAGTAAGCTTCCAGATAGACAACTTTATACCACGTGGTGCCTATGTGGTGGGTAATCACACTCTCCCACACCAGATGTTGTGACGACTGCGGCGTATTGCTAGTTGCTACATAAATTTTCTCAAATCTTGTCTTTGAATTATCACAAGTCTTCATACCGCTCCCATGTGGCTTCTTCTGGTGATTGTCCCTTCCAATGGATGAGGAACATGGTTGTAGCTTGTTGACCTTGCTTTCACCTAGCTTGATATTTAGTCAATTGTATTCTCAATCGTGCAAGACGGTGATAGTAAAAGGCGCATGACTCGATTGTCCTTTGTTTGGGTCATTCTTGTTTTTGTAGTATGGCTTAAACATGTTGGCATTGAAGACATGATGAATCTTAAGGTGTGGAGGCATGTAAAGTTTGTATGCGATCTTTTTCCACCTTAGAAAGGATTTTAAATAGGCCCTCATATTTGCGAAATAGATTGTGGTGCATGCCTCATAGTGTCTTAAACTGTTAGGGTTAAACTTCATCATCATGACCATGTCCCCAACTCTATAGTCCGTGAAACACCTCTTGCGGTCTACAAATTTCTTCATCTACTTAGCTGTCTTGTTCAAGTAGGACTTAGTCGTGTCAAACTGCTCCTCCAATCCTTTCATATGATAAGCTCCCGAATTCTTTCCCTCGAACGCGGCTCATAGTAAATGTGGAGCTTGAGTCTGTTAGGTTGTGTCTAGCTCAACTTTATCATTTTTCGGTAAAATATTTATCTTAGAGTATGTACGCTAAATTTTATCAATTTTAAGTATCATTGATTAGTTGCAAATTTTATTTGTGATTTTTTTTATTTTTCAAGATTTTAATTTTTTTGCAAGTCTTAAGCTAGTGTTAAGCAATAAATTTTCAAATGTTTTTCACAAGTCATTTTTTAGTGAAGTTTTGAGTTAAGTGTAACCATGCATTTGACCACAAGTCATTTTTGGGAGAAATATTTGGCTTTTTAAAAAAGTATGATTTATATCCATAAGTTCTAAAAATTATTTTAAATAACCATAAGTTTGTATTATCATTTTATAATAAAAATGTTGTGTGAAAAGGCATGACAACGAACATAATTAAAATGAATTTGAAAAAAGAGGAAGTAAACAAAAGAAAAATACCATTAATTTGTAAGAAAAACTACTATTACTACTTGTAACTGGGAGTGACTTCGGAGAGCAAATTCGAATAAAAATTGTATAAAATATGTATATAACAGTATAAATTTTTGGGTAATTTATAAAATATAAAACTTGGGATAATTATTAAATTTTTAAAAATTCTCAAATACTAAAATTCAACCCAAATTCTAATTTTTTTTCCCCAAGAACTTGGAAATTTAAGATATTTGCCAAGTAATACTAATTATGATCAAATACTAATTTTTAAATTTTTCCCAAATATTTTTATGTTCAAACGAATCCTAAATATTCCATCAATTATTAGAAATATAATAAGTATGATTAGATACGTGAATTTATATTCAACTAACACAAGATCCTAACTTTTAGCTTTGTTGCATGGACTATGCGTAGCACGTGACAACAATTTTGTTCTACTTGAATTATACATTGACTTACTTGAAGTAATTAACTTACTGCTACATATATAGATCCAAGTTGATTCGAATTTTTCAAATATATAATCAAATTATTTGTGTTAGATTTTTAAATCTATATATCAAATCAAATTATTAAGGGTTTTTCAACTTCAGCTTTTTTTTTGGATTTTTGGATTTTTTCTCCCGTAA